TTGTATATAGATGCATATAGATATATTTATATTCGTACTCATGTATGTACTAATTCATATATATAAGTGTGTATGAACAGAAAAAAATATGAATTATAAAGAAAACACAAACAAAAAAATCATACGTCATCCACACTTCTGCAATACCATATTCTCATTTATTGTCTATATGTTCCTTCGCTTGCAAATTCACTCACTTTTTCTCTCTTTCTCTTCCTTTGATTCTGTTGCTCTCTCCTTATCTCCCCTCTTCCCCGTCACCCAAATCTTCTCCTTCTCCTCCTCTTCCCTCTTTCCCAACTTCCCAAATCCCACCTCTTTCTTCCTATTTCCTTCCTTTCCTCCCATCCTTCTCTCTTCTCTTTTTTTCTTCCTTTTGTTACATCCTTCCCTTTATTCCATTTCTCTCTCTCTCTCTCTTCCTTTTTCCTAACCATTTTTTCCTCTCTTCCTCCCATCTCCCTTCCCTCATATCCTGCCATGAAATCACTCTTTTTTCCCTCTCTCCTTCCTCTTATCCTTATCTCCCTTGCTTCCTCCTCTCTCCTTTCTCTCTCTCTCACCTCTCCTTCTCTAAAGTCTCTCTCTCCCTCTTTCCTTAGATCCCCCCTTCACCTCCTCATCTTTCTTTTATCTAATCCTTCCCCTCCTCCTACTTATCCCCTTCCTCTCTCTCTTTCTCACCCCCATCATCTTTCCTCCCATTCAACTCTTCCTTTTATCCCTCTCCTCTCTCATTCTTCCTTTCTTGCTCACTTTCAGCCCACCCACCTCCCCTCTCCCCCACTCCCACCCACTCATCTCCTTCTCAATCTCCCCACCTCCACCCACCTGCTCCACCTCCCCCCATCCCCACCTCCACGAGCTCCACCTCCCCCCTTCCCCACCTCCACCTCCTCCACAATCTCCCCATCCCCTTCCCTACCTCCTCCCAATCTCCCCACCTCCCCCCTTCCCCACCTCCATCTCCTCCCCTCTCCCCCCAATCTCCCCATCCCCACCTCCACCTCCTCCCCTCTCCCCCCAATCGCCCCCCCCTTCCCTTCCTCCACTTCCTTCCCCCTTCCCCCCACCTCCCACCTCCTCCGAAACGTACCACACTCAGGCGCTGCTTGGCGGAGGTGATGTCGACGATGGTGCGGTTCAGTTCCTCGATCTTGATGTTCAGTTCCTGGATGCTGATGTTGAGGCTCTTGACGGACTTGTGGTAGCCGGCAGATTCGAGGGTGACCTTCTCCAGCTGCTGGGTCAGTTCGTAGACCTCGGCTTGGAATTTGCTCTTCTCCTTCTCAATCCTGGTGGAAGGGAGAGTGTGGTTGTAATTTTTGTTTTTCTTATTAAAAAAGGTTTTCTTTTTTTTTATCTATGATTCGATTTTACTTTTTATTTATTATTATTATTATTATTATTATTCAAATTGAAGTTCAGGTACATTTTTTTTTCAAAAAAATTATTTTATGTTTTTATTTTTAAATTTAAGTTGGAGTGTTGAGATATATGATTATTATTATGATCCTTATATCATTATATTCAATATAAACATATATTTAATAGAAACTACCATGGAGTATCAAAAGAGTTTTAAAACCTTATTAGTTCAATTTAAGAAAATAGAGTTTGAATTCGTTTTAAAGTCAAGAGAAAGTACCATTTGGTAAAGATTGCATAGTTGATGATTTCTCTCTATCAGTGTCTTAATAATTTGCAATAATGACAATGATGACTGTAACGATGATAGTAGCGATAGTCATAGTACTGTCATTTAAACACTTATAACTGCATCTATCAGGAGGTCCCTTTTATATAGTTCATTTACCATGCTGTATTGTAATATATATTTTAAGAATAAGTGGCAGTTGATGGAAATATTAATTATAATAGTATAAAAATAAGTTGCAGATGATGGACATGATAGTGATAATTGTTTGAAAATCATAGTGACTATTGATATCACTTATACCTTTTAAGTGTGTATATACTGAAGTCAGTATCATTACTGTTGTCTATAATGATATTTTAGGTAAAAATGATATTCATTTGATTATGCCGGTGGTGGTTATATTGGTGATAAAGATGCTGCTGATGATTTTGATGAATGAGAATTCAATTGTAACAGCTTTAGAATAAGATACTAATGATGATAACAATAATCATAATTATGATAAAGCGATTATTCTTCATACAAATTATGATGATTATTTAGATAGTAGTATCATCCAATATGAAAATAATGCCAATGAAATCAGTGCCCTCATGTCGGCCAAAATCCTCCCTAAATAACCGACGGCAACCGACTGAGGCCGAATGAAGCCGACAGCCACCCACTCGCCTCGTAGGTATGTATTCCTCCGCGATATTTTGACACATGGTTCCTAGTTATTTTTATCCTTATTTCTTCTGCAGGTGAAAGGGAAAATGGAACTTGTTAAGAGGAAGATGGTTTATCGATAGTTGTACGTAAAATAGATATGTTTGGGGGCAAGGGAGTGAGTTTGGGCAG